ACCTATTTTGTATTTGGCTTCACGGCTGCAGTAGCAGTGCAAGAACCTATTTTGTATTTGGCTCCATGGTAGTGCAAGGACCTATTTTGTATTTGGCTCTACAGCTGCAAGTGGCAGTGCAAGGACCATAATAAGAACTAACCCTCACTTGTAGTGACATGATTATTTTTACCGATTCTCTTTACGGATATAAGAATGATTGGCATTTCTCGCTATATGAAAGGCATTTTGGCCCATGAATTGTGTTGGTCATCCCTTTACCGGTGGAACATACAGAGCGGTATTGGTGACAATTTTGTGTATCATTTGATAATGCTTACTCCATATTTGGAGTGTTGATAATGTATATTAGAGCCGCCGAGGGTAGCGAGCCCTTATCCCATATGTTTTTCAGCTTTGTTAAATAAAGTTATGCATTGTGTTTTGAATAAAGTCATCTAACCGAGCAATAATAAAATCAAACAATGAATTTCCTTATATATTCTTTCATTTTCTGATATGTATAGGGTAGCATGTGGTGGCAACATTAAAGGATAAATTTGCTTACAGATTAATGTGTAAATATTTTCAAATCTGATCTGACAATGTTGTTTATTTTGTTAAATAATTAAAAAAGTTCATTGTGTTTTTTTACAATCATTCATTTTTCAACTTTCTTTTTTCTTTATTTGAGCATGAATTCTCTAATGAAAACTATTGAAGATATGAAAGGTTAAATATAATTGGCCTTTATACCATATCAGCAGATTGGCAGAATTAGATCTTAAATTCAGTCATCAAATTTATTATGTTTGTGTGATGTTGACTTTCAAATGACTTCAAACTGTTCTTATCATCATAATAAACATTATAATGAACTAGACATCAAACCAATCTCCCAATGCCAAAACCAATCTCTTATCAATACAAAATACTCTGACAACTCTGTAAGTTATATGTTTTTTACATTAAAAAAAAATAAGTTATTGTTACATATGACACATGCAAGCGCAAATAGAAATTCAAAGTTCACCAACCATTTCTTGTCAACTGTGTTTGAATAAAACCTTTAAAAATATTAAAGGATTACTTTTACACCAACACAAAATTCATAAAAACAAACAATTTTTTAATATTTGTTTCTCACGTATATATTACGCTCTATGCCCAGAAAGAAGTTATAAGAATCAGCATGGACTAAATCAACATGAAGCTATAGTATATTCTAATTACAATATTCCTCAGGCTAATATAATACTACAATCTCCTGAAGCAATTTCTGAATTTAAAAAAACTTTAGTTTTTTTAATTCAAAAC